ATAAATGACACAGTTTCATTTTTATTTAATACCTTTAGAAGATTGCTGTGTGGAAAAGTAAAAGGGACTGAATAGATTTCTCTTTACAGTTTAGAATGTATAGCTTTCTTTGCAACTTCAAAATATGCTTAAAGATTGTTTTCTCTTTTCATTGTAGCCAGACATTAGGAATGCCTTCTTTAGAAGGCAATATGAGAGTATGTCAGTTTGAAGAAATTAAAAAAAAAAGTAATAATAAAATTTTAGAGAGGTTCTTGCATGTGCAATTCAGTGACATTAATTACATTTACATTATGTTGCACAACTATCACCACTTTCAATTTTTCCCCCTTAACAAATTTATATGCATATGAAAGGTGGACAGTGAATAAAGAAGACCAAACAATAATTGATGGCTTTGAATTGTGGTATTGACAAAGAATATTGAATGTATCAAGACTGTCAAAAGAACAAAGAAATCTGTCCTGGAAGATGTACATGAGAATACGCCTTAGAGTCAAGGATATTGAAATTTGGTCTCGCATACTTTGTACTTGTCAGGAGGGGCTAGTCTCTGGAAGAGGGCATCATACTTAGTAATGTAGAGGGTCAGTGAAAAAGAAGAAGTGATCAATTAGATGGATTGACTCATTGGTTACAACAGTAAGCCCAAGCATAGTAGGTATTTTAAGGATTGTATAGGACTAGACAGTGTTTTATTCTGTTACACATAGAGTTACTAAGGGTTGGAGCTAAATTTGCGCTTGCACCTAACAACATTAGATAGACTCATTTCCCTCTTCTACCCACCCTGGTGACTACTAATAAACTCTGATCTTTATGCATTTGCTTACTGTAGATATTTAATATTTGTTGTTGTTGTTGTTGAGTACCATTGAGTTAGAACCAATCCATAGCTGACCCTCCAGTGGGTGTTCAGATACAGTTAATCACATGAGAGGAGATTGCCCATCCTTCTCCTGTGGAGCAGCTGGTGGATTCAAACTTTGTGTCTTCAGGATCGTGGTACAGTTTCTTCCAGCTAGACCACCAGAGCTTCCTATAAACTTATATTTAATGTAAGTGGAATCATATTTGTCTTTTCATGTGTTGTTTATTTAAAAAACATGATAGTTTCACAGTTCATTTATATTGCACCCTACATCAGAACTTTATTTCTCTTTATTGCTGAAAAAGAATCAGTTGTATAAATATACCATATTTTATCTCTTCATCTGTTAATGGATTATTTTTACTCCTTGGCTATTGTGAATAATGTTGAACTGAGCATTAGTATACACCTTTCAGTTTTGAGATTGCTTTCAATTATTTGTTTTTTTAGCTTTACTATTTTTATTCTCTTTAACAATATTCTGAATATAAAGTAACTACTGCCATTTTTATCCAGGGAAATTATATTCTAAGTCCATCTCCATACCTTAAAATTTTAAGGTGCCCAGTTGCCACTTTTTTTAAAAAATAATTTTAATGAATATTTACAGAGATTTTGGATTTCCATTTATTCATTGCTGTACTTCTCTCGCTTTTAATTTTTTTAATATATATGTAAGAGTAGAATTGTTTGGTCATGTTAATTCTGTATGTAACTTTCTGAGGAACTGCTAGTGTTTCACAGTGACTGCACAAGTTTTACGTTCCTCCCAGCAGTGACAATCAATAGTTTTTCAACACTCATGGTAACAACATTTAGGAAATCAAAAGATGTGTAATATTGGGAAAATCTGTTGCCAGGGACTTTTTTAAAGTACTAAAGAACAAGAATACCAGTTTAAAAACTAATGTGCACCATATCCAATCTGTGATATTTTCAGTTGCCTTTGATTGTGATTTTGGCACAAATTTTGATTATACCCATGGATTGCCAAAAGAGTAAAACATATCTGTCTTGAAGGAAGTGCAATGAAAGTGCTTCGTGGAGGCAAGGATGTGGTAAAACTTTGTCTCACATACTTTGGGCATGTTGTCAGGAGGTGCCAATCCTTAGAAAAGATACCATGTTGGGGAAAAGTAGAGGGTCAAAGCAGAGGGAGAGGGAAGAAGACCCTCAAAAAGATGGATTGACACAAGTACTGCAACAGTGGGCTTGACAGTAATAGAGATGGTGAGGATCACCCAGGATAGGACAAAGTTCAGATGATTCATAGAGTTACACTGTTGTTGTTATATACAGTTGACTACTACTTGTGTAGCAATCCTATGAACAGCAGCTCTGAATCCTGAGCCAAACTGACCATCTCTGACACATCAGTCCCATTGCCATAGTTACTGTGTCAGTCCATCTTTTTCAGGGTCTTTCTCTCTTTCCAAGCATAATATCCTTCTCCAAGGACTGGCCTCTCATGACAATCTGTCTCAATGTATGTGAGCTGGATCTTCACAATCCTTGCTGCCAAGGAGCAACCTAATTTCACCTTCTCTGGGGCAGACCTATTTGTTCTCTTGGTAGTCCATGGTATGTTCAGTACTCTTTTCCAGCACCACAGCTCAAAGGCATCGATTCATCTTTTGCCATCCTTAGTCATTGCCCAGTTCTCAGATGCAAAGCAAGCAATTGAGAAGACCATGGCCTTAGAAGACTCAAGTGCACCTTAGTGTTTCAGTTGATTTCACTGCTCTTCAGCACTCCACAGAGGTCCCTGACAACAGACTTTCCCAAAGCCCTATTTTCCACTGTTGGTGCCAAGAATGTTGATTGTGGATTCAAGCAAGATGAAATTGTTAAAAACCTCACTCTTAAAGCTTCCAATTAGCTCAGTGATGAGAATCTTTTTTTCCTTGATGTTGAGGTACAATCCATATTGAAGAGTTGGTATGAGTTGTAGTCAATTCGATGGCACCTGACAACAGTTTTACTGTCATCAATTCAATGCCAAATAGGAAGAAAATAGCCTATAGTGAACCTTATAACAAGAATGATAGTAAGTACTTTTTACTTATATGGCCAATTCATTGATTATTTTTTTTTTTAAATCAAATATTCCTTTCGTGTCTGCCTGGCCAGGTGTGGTGTTAAGTGATTGGATTCCCACTTCTCCAGAGCTAAAAATCACCTTAGGAAAACATGCAATTATTCAAATAAGTCTATAGAATGAAGTGTGTTTATTGAGAAATTACAGGAATATTTAAAAATATATAGAGGGAGGCTAGGGAAACTTAAAAACTTGCCAGATGAAATGAAATTTAAACTGAGGCCTAATAATGTATTTCAAAAGTTAAGGAAAAGTAATCCAGGTACAGGGAACAATATGTGTGTGAGGACCTGATCATGAGAGAGAGTGTGGTATATTTAGGAGACTAAAACCTCTCTCAGTAAGACTGAAGAATTGTGCAAATGATGCTTGAAGAAGTAGGCACTGCCAGCATACTGATACCCTACATATTATAGAACTTTTTTAGATGCTGTTCTAAGAGTTTGACCAGTGGACATGTCCCAATCAATCTGATGTACATTTAAAAAAAATAACTTTTTGATAGTGTTTTTATTCATTTGTGAGGTATTGGAAAGAGAATACATTGGTATGACCATTTTTGTGAACAAGTTGTAACATGTAATACTTTGACTCAGCAGTTCTTCTCATCTAAGTTTTTTGCTTCTATAAAACATTTGATACACATAAATAAGGAAATGTGTGAGGATGGTGAAACTTTTACCTGGCATATTTTGGGCATGTTGTAAAAGAGGGTCCAGACTTTGTAAAAAGACATTGTGCTCAGAACGGTAGAGGATCAGGATAAGAGATAAAGACCTTCAACAAGATTGATTGATACAATGACTAAAAAAAAAAACGGCCGTGAGCATGATGGAGATTTTGAGGATGGTGCAGGATAGGGCAAGGGGCAGGTAGGTCAGTAGTTCATAGATTAACTATGAGCTGTAATCGACTCCATGGTTCTTAATGACAATAACAACAACATAAGGAAAGAAGTAGAAGAATGTTTAACAGCATTGCTTTAATAAGTGACCTGAAAAGCAAATTAAATGCCCATTAAGTATTATTACTATAGATAAATATATATACACATATGTGT